AATATTTATTTATTATTTTTTTTAGTTCTCGGCGGACACAACATTTTTTTTTGTTGGTATGTGGTGCTGAGGATCGAACCCGGGCCGCACGCATGCCAGGCGAGCGCGCTACCGCTGAGCCACATCTCCAGCCCGCAACATTCTTAAAAGAACCAAATAAAATGCAAAACTAAGCCGCCTACTGTGCCAAGAGTGGGCCTGCCAGGCTGCTCTGCTCAGAAGGGCCTGCTGACAGGGCTGGCCCTCAGCTGGTGTCCAGGATCTGATGGACAGACAAGATGTGGCCTGAAGCACCTACTCTCTGCTCATGAGATGGTTTACCCTGAGCACCTGCGTCCCTGGGAGGACTCCATGTGCTGGGCAGGGCATGCGGGATCCCCAACAAAACCACTGCGTCTGATGACCTCTCCTGCTTGGCAACCTCACTGTGTGGCCCACACCCGCTGGGGGAAGTGCGGGCACCCAGTGTGCACTGGGAGGGACCTGGGAAGCTCACACCCTGTCTCCCTAGTCTTCTCCCAGTGCCTGAATCCCTTCCTTAGAGTGAGTCGCAGCCCTGAGTATGCCAGTGAATCACTGAACCTGGGCTGATCCCGGGGACCCTGATCAGAGCAAAACAAAATCAATGTGACCCCTGCTCCTGCCCTCCCTCAGGATAGTCCTGGAGAACTGTGCATGTTGACCTGACCGCCAACCGCACACATACCTCCTGTCTCGCTCCATCCGGTTGTGCCTCTCGCGACGCTGAGACCTTCCTCCCTGGGGCCCGCCCTGGGCCTGCTCCCCCAGGTTAGACTGCGAGGACTCCGAGGACTGCCAGGCACCCTGTGCAGCGGTGGAGCCTTCACCCACATTCTGAATCTCTCCAAGGGCCCGCCGTTCTACACTTGTGTCCAACTGACGAATTCTACTCCGATTCCTCTTATTTATTGCTTGTTTACATAGCGCTTCTTCTTTGCAAAAGAAGGAAAAAGTGGTATTTTAATTTTTTATTCTTCTTAACTTGTACCTGTTAAACTGAATATATTTTTGGCATTTTCAAACAAGATATAAACACTATTGCATATGCAGCAATCTGAGCCATAAGAAGCTGAGGCAGCAGAGACTCCACATACACTGGCACTGAGCTCCAAGCCTACACTGCATGCAAAACTGAAGCATGAGTCTACCATGGAATCCAATACTGCTCCAAGTGTTAACATGACCAAAGCAGCCTTGTCAAAGCCTTTTCTTTTTTTGCAGTACTGGACACTGAACCCAGGGACACACTATTCCTGAGCCACATCCCCAGCCCTTTTTATTCTGAGGCACAGTCTCACTAAGTTGTTGAGGCTGGCCTCAAACTTGTAATCCTCCTGCATCAATCATGTGAATCACAGATGACATGCATGTGCCACCAAGCCCAGCAAAAATTCCCCTAATCAAGTTTTGCTACCTATGAATAGCAAAATCAAGATGCTGTTCCCTTTTTTTTGAAATCAGAATTGAAAAGAAAGCTAGAGGGGCTGGGGATGTGGCTCA